TATTTAAATGGTAAGTAAACGTATTTTTTTTCAGGTATATTTATGATGTACGTATATATTAAAAATCTCACGTGTTAAAGATTGAAAGAATATTGATAATAGAACTGAAAGCAAGCAGAAGACAGATATTTAATCGTAAAAAAAAATTTTTATGAATGAATTTTAGGATTTTGATGGAAATATATTTCCTATACATCTATATGAACATTTATTTTACCACAATAACATATTGGGCATTATTTTATTTGGTATTTAATTATAATGCCCATGTTTATATCTATATATATGTATATGTGTATGCACTCTATTGTAATAGTCCCGCAGGGCAACTTTGTGCCAGCATAATAAATTAATAATATTTACGATGCTGCGATAAGGCGGAACCTAAAAAAGGATGTAAGGCTCTGCGTCTATATTCAGGCAGTGCACAATTTATGCATATGAATATAGATTTCAAGCAGAGACAACAAAAGCAAATGCTTTTAATTGTAAACAAAGCAAAAATTATTTATGCAATGTTATTTTCCGTGCTCGGACCTCGTATAATTAGAGCAGCAATAAATATAGTTGAATGTTTAATGCAAGGCAAAATTATATACATATTTCAAATTTAAGCCCATTTTTCTCCTGTAAATATCCCAAAAGATATTTAAATATTTATTGAATACAACTTGCATTTGATTTGCGCAGATGTTGCATATAGGATCAAGTTACATTTGTACAGCGAATTAAAAAGATAACTAGAGATAAAGCTAAGGCACTTAACGGCGATCGGTTTTGCCGGTGCCTCGTTTGCCGGAATACAAATGCCGCGGCATTTTGGTGCCAATGAAACGATCCGCCTCGCCTTTGAGGCCCATCCGTGTCACCTTCTTGGCAATGTCGCGCTTGGCCCTGATTTGCGCCTTCTTCCGGATGGCAACATCCTTGATGCCGAGCGTGTCGCGCGACGGCGCACGCTTCAGCGGCTGTCCGGTCTTCTTGACAACCGCTGAGGCTTCTTTGTCGAGCAACGGCTGCTTGGGTGTTGTCTTGCTGCCGACGGCCACAACGCCACGGCGTAGATCCATCACGGATTTGGTGAAATTGGCATTCTCGCTGCCGGACATATCGACGCCCAGACCCTCCATGGTCTGCACCAGTTTGCTGACGGAACGATCACGCACCTTGGGCTGCTTGTTGCGCGGAATGATGGGCTTGTTCTTTCTGATTGCGAGACGCTTCTCGTCGCGCAGTTCGAAGCGTTTGCCGCGTATCTGTTTGGCCATTTCGCGAATCTCTTTGAGCGTCTCGTCCATGGACATGTCGGGCACAGTGTAGACACCGCCAGACTCTCGCAGACCTTCTTCGCGCTCCAGCTCCTCGAGCTTCTCGAAAATATCCGCATCGATGTAGTCGGCAATGTTGCGACCCTGCCAGAACTCTGGTATCACATCGTAGCGCTCCTCCTCGGCTATTTCCTCGTAGTTCTTCTTCAGATCGAGCGTATAGTCATCGCCCATCTCCTCCTCAATCTCCTTCTCCAGCTTGCGCTTACGTTCAGACTTGGCTGCGTTCTTCTCGAGGCGCGCCAAGGCCTGCTCGGGTATACATGGAGCTCGGACCTTATCGTCGCGTGGAGTGGGCATTGCCAAATGCAAACGGTTCAGTATGTTATCCACCTTCTTGGTGCGCATCTTTTGGTCCACGCGATAGGAGAGCAGGCGTTCGCAAGCCTCTGTCTTCACCTCCATAACGCCAGTCTCTTGCACTGTGGACATAAACATGACAGGCACCTGTTTATCGTCCTGCAGCTTGGTGATTATGGCTTGTCGCTCCGCGGGCAGATCCTCCAGCGATAATATGTCGATTTTGTTGATGGCCAGTATGAGCGGCTTGTTTGTGAACAACGGTTTGATGCTCTCGAACAGCTGTACCTGGTCCTCCAAGGAGTGGCCGCACTGCTCCGAAATGTCCATAAAGTACAGGACACAGGCACGCAAATGGGCCAAAGCGGTAATTGCCTGCATTTCAATAACATTACGCTCCTCCAGCGGATGGTCGAGTATGCCGGGCGTATCAATCACCTGCCAGCGCAAGTATTTGTAGTCTGTGTGACCCACATATAGGGATTTTGTGGTAAACGCATACGGCTGCACCTCGACATCGGCACGCGTGATTTTGTTAATGAACGAGGACTTACCCACGTTGGGGAAGCCGCAAATGATAATGGTGCGCGAGTAGGGATCAATAGTGGGCAGACGCGACAAATGCTGACGCACTTGCTCCAGATAAGTCAAATTGGAAGCCTGACGCTTCAAGATTGTGGCCATGCGACCCAAGGCGGCCTTCTTCAGCTGCTTGCAGCGGTACAAAGAGTCGCCGTACTTGAGCAGACGCACATAGTCCTTAGCCACACTGCAAAATTTAAATTAGCTATTAATCAGGATTCATTTGCTGAAGATTGTCAGTTAGCTTACTTATCCACCAAATGTCTGGCTGTGTTCAACTGACCCAACGCCAGTTTGTAATGGTCCTTGTCGTAAAGCACATTCATTAGATCTGCATAGAATGGATGCACATCGTCCAGTTTGGGAAAGTCCTGTATTATCTGCGAGAGACGATCGTGGAAATTCTGTTGCGTGTACTTCACCTTGCGCGTGTAAAAGGCACGAATACGCGAGATTTTGTAGCCCTTGTGCACGACTGTGGGTGTCTTACGCTGGGTTTTCGACAGCATAATGTCGATAAAGTCCTGGAAAATGGTATAAAGGGTATATTATTTACATATTGCGCATTTGTAAACATTTGCTGTGAGGTTATGTCGTTGGCACTGGGTGCTCCGACAGACGTACACAATTTGAAATGCTGCTACGTTTGCTTACCTTGGCTGGCGGCACCACCATTATCTTTTTAAAGTTGTACAAACTCATTTTTGTACTTATTTACTTATTTTCCACGGCAAATTAAAGGAAAATAAATGGGAATCGCTTGCAAAAACACCACGCGGTGTCTGCAACAAATTCCAAAAAGACCTGATATAGAGTCTAGAGATGGGTTAAAGGCGCGATAGTTAAAAATATCGCAAAATCTCAAAGAAATGAAGAAGTCGTGCAAAGGTTGGCAACATTCACGCTAGCTATCGAATATCTTATCGAAGGCCTAACCTTTATCGACGTATTACAGTAATTGGACTTATGTTGTTATGAATTTAATAGAATTCACGAAAAGCAAACAATTTGATGTTAATTAAGCAGACGAATTCGTTTAAAAACGTATTATTAAAATATGTTATCCAATTGAGAATAAGTATAAACGCTGCATTGCGATCTAAACGCCGGAAATAATAACATGCAATGTTGTATATTGTAGGATCATAGTTGAGCAAAAACTTTATGCTTTATTTAAAAATAAACAAGAAACTCTAACAAAATGCTGGACAGAGCGAGTGGCAAACCCTTCAGATGTGACCAATGCAACTATACGTCCAATCGTTCCTTTGACCTGCGACGTCATCAGCAGCGCCACGCCAGGGTGAAGCCCGTGGAAGGAAATGTATTCAAATGCAGCGAATGCTCGTTTGTAACGAAATGGAAGCGCAACATGGGACGCCACATGGAAAAGCATAAAAAAACTGCGCTGGCAGAAGACAGTCAGCTAGAGGATCAGACCATAGAGGAGTTTATAGTGGAGGTAATTGAAGCATCAGAAGCGGACGTCGACGAGGAGCAAGCTGCACCCGATCAATCCACTGTCACCATGGTTCTGGCTTCGGATGATATCAACGAGACGCCAAAAGATAAAAAGCTGAAACGCTTCAAGTGCGAACTCTGCCGCTATACATCGAATCGCGCCTTTGATTTGCGACGTCACGAGCAGACGCATTTTCGCATAAAGGTGGTTGATGGCATGGCCTACAAATGTTCCGAATGTCATTTCGTAACCAAATGGAAGCGTAATATGAGGCGTCACATGCGCAAGCACGAGGATCCCAGCGAGGAAGAATTAACAGCAGAAACGAATGAGCCCGAACCCGAGGAGTTTGTTGTGGAGCTCATTGATGCAGAGACATTAAGCTCAGATTTTGACATGGCATCCGAGACGCAATCCTGCTCCCAGGAGTGGTCCGCACCCGAAGAAATTCAGAGCGAGAAACGCTATAGATGCGACCAATGTGAATATGAATCGAAACGCGCCTACGATTTGCGACGACACGCGCAGATTCATGCAAAGGCAAAGCCACTGCAGGGCATAGCATATCAGTGCAATGAATGCTCGTTTATAACCAAGTGGAAGCGAAATATGAGGCGGCATATGGAGAAGCACAAACCAAAGCCAATTGAAGCAAATGTTCAGGTGGACGACTTTGTTGTGGAGCTCAAGTCTGTCGAGGGAGCTCACAATGAAAAAATAAAGGCTTTGGAATTGGAAGAAGATCCCGGGGTATTGCCATCCTATTGGATAGCGCTCCCAGCAGATGATACTTTGTGTTTAGATTCCGCTTCATAGCAGTTGACTCCCTTTTAGAAATTAGAGATTAAAGGCTGAGTTGAAGCCTTTGCTAACTATAAAAGTACAGATGTACATATGTATAAATCTATATTTAAAATTATATATAAGAAATTGCAATTATTTACAAATATTTTACTGGTAAACTAATGACAGATTATTGCCAATAAAACAATAAACAGAAGTACATATTAAAATTACTTATAGGTATTAGAGATAACAACGATAACATGACGTTATGCAAATGTGCAGATGCAGCGCAGTGAGAACACTGTGAAATGTCAACTTCAAGCCTGCTACAATGTATGCGCGACTAATTTCACATACACCTAAATTTGGGCGGATAAGTAGTAATTTAAATATTCCTGTAAGTCTTTTCTAAAATGCCTTATTAATTATATAACAGCTATTATTTAGCCGTATTAACAGATGCTTTAAATACATCGATATATCGTATAGAAAAGATTATCGATGTAAACTACATAAAAGTCGCAGTGACTAAAATCGATACACGGATGTTCATTCATCACTAGTTTCGATGAATTTTTTATATAGACAACCACACGGAATTGTTGCTTAAATTTGCTTTAAATTAACACAAATTGCTACGTCTAAGCACAATACATAAAGGCAAAACACAAATATTTTTATTAAAATGGCCGACGACTGGGGTAAGTGCACGTGGATGCGTCATCAAAAATAAAACGTGGGCGCTGCGCATGTGGCGCTCGTGGCGCCCCCCCTAACCCAGCAACCCCACCCCCGCTCCGCCCGCGCACTTTCGACAAGAAAGGAGACATGCATCCAACCTTGATATTTATGTATATTTTTAGCAAATTTAATTGGCGTATATGCACATATATAATAACCAAAAACATTATGTCTCTTATGATCTTGCAGAATCCGCCGCCGAAAGTGAAATTGTCATACGTCCGAATGCAGCCAACAATATAAACAAATGGGAGGGCGAGGACGACGACGAGGATGTTAAGGTGCGTACAAAGCAACTCGCAGTTAGCATATTGTTAACAAAGCAACACAATTGTTGCTGTTGTAGTTGTTGATCTGCTTTTGTTGGCAAGCGAAACGAGAAAGAGTTGTGCTCGTGACACGAGTGCGCACGACGTGTTCGTGGCAAAAAGTATGATTTCATGCGCTCGACACGAAAACTATGAATCAGCATCAAAAAATCTAATTGGGCTACAAATTAATTAAATATTTGAAGTTTAAATTATAGAAGATGATGAATACAACAATTTACAACGTAAAATGTTCTGCGAGTCGGTAATATTTTTAATTCTGCGTATTTTCGACTTGTCATTCGTGTTTGCCTCGAGTAGAAACAAATTCAACACGCTTCCATCTCTCGTCTAAACTTGTTTCTTTTTTATTTGGGGTATTTTGCTTTTGTTAAACAATTTTCACTTTCGCTTGGCCGTACACGTGGTCAGTTATTGCAATTGTACTTTGATACGCTAAACCAACTGATACTAACATTATTTTATATATTTAGGAAAGCTGGGAGGATGAGGAGGAGAAGAAAGATGAGGAGAAGCCCACGAAAACAGAAGCGCCAGTTAAAACTAAACCCAACAAGGCGCTGAAAGCGAAATTGGAGGAACAAGAGGTTTGGCCTAACCATTATTTGTTCATATAAATAAATCTATTTAAACCTAAATACTTAGCGCCTAATCGAGGAGGAGGAACAGAAACGTCTGGCCAACCTGACAGCCGAGGAGAAATTAGCGGAAAAGCTGCGTTTGCAAAAAATTCAAGAGGAATCCGATCTAAAGAGTGCCCTAGACACATTCGGTGTGACGAGTATAGGCGAAGGTCTCGACGCCTTCAATCCGGAGAGTAAAGAGGAGTTCAAGGAATTCGGTGCCACACTTAGCTGGAAGGTAGCACAGTACAGGGAATCCATACATTTTCCAGAATTCATAGAGGATCTGGTGCGCACTTTATGCGTAAACTGTGAGTGATCATTGCGAACACACAAATATATACCTTATACCTATACTGATAATAATTGTGATTTCCCCATCAAGTGAGCGCCGCTGACATTAAGAAGGTCAAAATGAGCGTGGAGAGCTTACACTCGGAAAAACAGAAAATGGAAAAAGCAAATGCCAAGAAGTCAGCTGCCAAGGCCAAGGGAAAAGTTTCGTTGCGTAAAGAAAGCGATGTAGGTCAATTTTCCATCGATTGGCTTCATTCATTAATTATTTATATTATCTTTATAGGATATTGATGACTATCAAAAGTATGGAAATGATTTTACCGATGATTACGATGACTTCATGTGAATAATAGGATCAATAGATAAACGCATATAACTAATTATTGAATATATATATATATATAGTTGCTTGTTGATGTCGAAGAGAGTTCTTCTTGTTAAAGAAAATTGCGCTGGAATTTAAATCCTTTTTTGTTGATTTTGAGAATGCTGTTCGAAGGCGCCATATTAATATACATATATGTACATTTAACTATAAGCATATATATATATTTGTATGACAGCACAGACACACCATTATACATACAGACATAAATGCATGTAAAAATTATATATATACATATATATTTAATAGAATAACTAAAGTCAAGTCAAGCAAGCAATCAAGAAACCTCAACGAACATTTTTCAGATTATAAAAAAAAAACACAATAAATTAGGTACATGAATGGCTTCTTGTAAATTCACTTTTGTATAATATTATAAAGCGATATTAAATTGTAAAACAAGCTCAAGTTGGGATTTTTCAGTTATCTGCATTGATCAAGTTTAAACTGTTTTTAAATAATCGTTATCGGCTCGTCAAAAAACAAAATTGATCGAATGAACGCTGCAGTCTATGGCTAACGATAATTTTCAGCTTGTGACGTCATGAACTCTTGCCATATTGCTGGAATGTTCTTTTGAAAACCATTAAAATGCAACTCTGTCCACTGAGTTGTAACTCTGGCCAGGCACGTGCATCTCTTCTTCTTGATATCAAACGTAAACATGACCGACAGCATAAGTGATTATATTGCCGGTACCAAATATAATTGTCAATTAGAATACAGTTATTATAACAACGACTACTTGTTATTACAGAAGCTGCCGCTAAGGAACTGCCGAGCTCTGAGGAAGAGGATGATATTGAGGACGAGGACACCTGTAGCGCTCAGGAATTGGCTACTCAATTTCGCACCCAATACACAAAGGACGAGGCGTCGTTGTCCCTGAAGCGTGACTATGTCCTGGGCTTATGTGCGGACCCCGGATTTACGCGCCTTGCAGCTGGACTGTCCAATACCGCTGTCAAGATTTACGATCTGAGTGCAACAGGCGCACTAACAGAAGTGCATGAGGAGCGGGTGCCCGCCTTGCCCGGCTCCGATAATACAGTCACCATCTGTGGTGTCCGTTTTCTGGAGGAGAATTCAAACACATTGCTGGTGGGGACCACGAATGGTCTAGTGCGTCTATTTGATTTGCGCGCCACGGGCGAACAGGCCAGATTTGAGTACAAAGTCAATCCTGAAGCGGAACCAGCTCTGCCGCCCGTGCCGGAGTGCATCACATGCTTCGATCGCAATGCCAACAGTCGCATCATCTGCTGCGGCACAGAGCAGCACATGGGCAATGTGTATTTGTTGTTCTATGACGTGCGCGAACGCAAACAGCTCGGTGTTTACTACGAAAGCCACGAGGACGATGTGACGGCTGTGCGTTTCCATGCCAGCAATCCGGATCTGCTGTGCACGGGCGGAACAGATGGCTTGATAAATGTATTTGATATCAAGCAGAGCGACGAGGATGAGGCGCTGTGTAATACCATCAACACGGAGAGCAGTGTGCATCGCCTTAATTGGCATCAGAATGTCTACGATCAGGATATTATTTCGTGTATAACGCACACCAACGATTTCAAGAGCTATGAGTGCATGGAAGGCGATGAGGTTATCTCCTTTGAACGATCAGACATTGTTGCCGGTATACGACGCAAAAATGCCGGAAATTTCAATTTGATCAATGCCCACAACCTGGAGGACGACGGCGTCTTTTTGCTGGCTGGCACCAATTTCAATCGAGGGTGAGTTTTGATCCCATATATGATTGCTCGACCCTCCCATAACTCTCTTCTTTATAGTGAGGTTCTGCGTTCCGTAACTGCTCCTGCCAAGGATACCCTCAAACCGCTTGCAAACTTTGTGGGCAACAAGCAAATTGTGCGAGAGAGTCTGTACGATGCGAAGCGTGATCTGCTTATAACTGGCGGCGAAAGCGGCATTATCTCCATCTGGTCACCCGATGCGGGCAGCATGATTAGCAGCAATAAATTAAAGAGTAAATCGATAGCGGCTAAGAAACACAAGAAAACGCCATACTAAAGACAAGATTTTATAATAAAAAAATGTGCTTATTTCTTATTTAAGTTAAACGAAAGTCTAGTTTAATTTCACATGTAGATTTCGCAGAGCAAAACCCGTTATACAACTGATACTTTGATTTATATTTCAATTTTCGCGCCATTTTGCCTGACGTTGCCAGATGTCGATGCTTATGCTGCTTCCTCAAATATTGCTTATGGGTGTTGCCACTATATTCACATATTCTTGCTCACGGACATTGTCTGCTTGTTTTAAAAACGTTACGAATGTTCTAAAACGTAAACGCGCTTACGACGCGTTTGTATGGCAACGTAATGATTGAAAGTGGATTTTCTTTTGAGTATTTTTTGGGGTTGATTTGAAGATGCTTTAAAAATCGATGCATATGTAAACAAGATGCGACATTTTCTTATATATGTATAAAGAAGCGCTATGTACTAAATAAATATATATAAATGGACTACAAATTTGTTTTAATGGGGATTCGAATTGTAGGCATAATATAAGAATCTTTGAGAACGAAAAAGTTGCCCGATCTGTATAGACACATATACACTACACCCTCTCTCTCTCTCTGTTGCTCTGCCACCCAGCCCGAAGTCACATTAAGCTCTGCTTAGTTAAAAATTAGCACATCCTTAACGCACAAGCAGGACGTATCCTGCGAGCACACATAATTTCTCAATTGCTTTCCATCTCGTCGCATTTCGAGGCCCAATTAGTGCTGCAGTAGGCATTGCAAATGCGTGCCCACAAATCGTCTAATCCGGTGCCACCGGAGCACCGGCAAGCAGGACCTCTCTGGCTAAATGTTGACAAATACAACACCTACGATACAAATAGAATTGCTACAGAAGTACCACCTAAAACGTAGCAGCGAAAGGCCTACTACTAACCGGAACGATATAATTTTCACAAATTTACGCCAGCCAAGCAAAACCCAACGGCAGGACTCGCTCGCTCTCTCGCTCTCTCTCTCTCTCTCTCTCTCTCTCTCTCTCTCCAGACAGCAGCAAAGCAGCAGGATCGCATCGCATCGGTCGGGATCGCAGGATCCGAATCCGAATCCGAATCGGTCTCCTCTCCACTCACCGTGGCTAATTGCTCATGAATAAATTGTTCGGTTTTCGAATTCCATTGAAAATGCGTAGGCATCTCTCTCTCTCACTCACTCTGTCGATCTCTTCCTATCTCGCTCTCTCTCTGCGAGTCCTGCGGAGCAACCAAAATATTATGGTGTTCCCTGCTGTTAGCGCACAGTCAGCGCGAATTTGCTGCGGTAAGTCGATGCTGCTTTTTCGGCCTCACCGAGTCCTGAGTCCAGAGTCCTGAGTGTCCTTTCTGCTCCTTGGCTGCGGCTCTCTGTCGTCGGTTTGTCAGCCTGTTTGATTTGACATGTTTGTTAGCAATGCTGACCCTGAGTTTGTGTTCCACTTTGATGTGATTCGTCAATGCGGTGGACTACCGGCTACCGACTTCAGACGCAGAAAACTCCGACTCCGACTCCGACTCTGACTCTGACTCTGGGTCGGCCTCTGCCCCAGCAGGCAATCTTGCGAATGCCCAACAGCGTTTGTTGGCGTATCTGTGTCGTTTTTTGTTTCTCTATTTATTTGTTTGTTTGTGCCGCTGTCTCCTGTTGCCGCTGGAGTGCCATTCGCTAGGCTCGGCATGGGCCACCAATCCAGCGAATCTCCCGTTGGGTTTGCATACCGCAATGCGCCGTATTTATAGTAAACGTAGCCGATCGATTGCGGTTCCGCCTAGCCATATCAAGAAGACCACGCAGTACAGAAATAGAACGAGAGAGGGACGGAGAGACAGAGAAAGAGACTAATATGAAGAATGGAGATTATTATGGTTTATAGACGGGCAATCATGACTATATTAAAGAAATGTATCCTTATATTATTGACACTTCAGAAAGACAATATATATTTATTCTTAATCAGTTTTAGCAGTCGTCAAGTTTTTGTTGAAACTTGGCAGAGACATAAATATGTATGTCGAAGTCGGCCGACGCGGACGGAACGACTTTATCATACAGCTGCCATTGGAATTGTGGTTTAAAAATAGAAATGTATCTTGAACAAAACGAATTATGAGCTTTAATTGGCTTCTAATTAATGAAAACAGTCATATTAAAACAAATCGTTCATATCATGACTCGCCTAGAATTAATTTGCATTAACTTAAGTTTGTATATTAAAAAAACATCGTGTGTTTAAATTTAGATATGCATATATTTTATTTATCTCTGCCGACGCAGTCAATTATTATCATCCCAAAGATATTTTCTTGCTTATATTTCTGGGCGCTATCTTTCGCATTTCTTCAGATTCTTTAAAGCTGTAAATCTAATATATTCTATTAGAGCTGGTTTTGGTTGCTGAAATCGAAACAAACAAAATTAAACAAATAATTAAATGAAGTTCTATCAATTTTGATACTGAGATACTTAGATATGTCATCTTTATATTTACATAGATACTTAGGTACTTTATCAATAGGATACCTTCACAGATGTGGAGATACTCATAGATACTACATCTTTAAAATACCTATGTAGCTATACATATATAGATACTTATAGCTTCCCATAGATACAAAAGCCTTAAGCTACCAACATAGGTACCGATATACTTTTAACTACTTGTAGATACTTTAGCCACAAGATACTTACAGATGCCGAAATTTAAATACTTTCACAGACACTGAGATACTTTTAACTATCCACAGATACTTCATTTACCTACCTATATAGCTACTTCCCATAGATACTTCATCTTTAAGATACTTTCCCACCCACTGAGATACTTATAGCTTCCCATAGATACTTAAGCCTTAAGGTACCTACATAGGTCCCAATATACACATAACTACTTATAGATACTACATTCGTAAGATACTTAGATACTTTATCTTTTAGATACTTAATCGCAACACTTCTTTTCAACACCTCTCGCCGCACAGGTATCTCTAGCTGGCCGGCCATTGAGCAAATCGCGTCCACCCTCCTCTGTGCTTGGTCTTGGCCCTAAAAAAGAAACCGCATGATTATGCGCCCACACAATATCCGACAATGGCTCACCTAATTATTTGGCTCGTGCTCTGCTCTGTTTTATTTTTTTTTTGTTGTTGTCGACAAAAAGCGAGCCAATTTTTAAACGATTCGTTTCTCTTTTTATGAGTTTTTTCCATTGTGCGCATTTTTACCAATGTTCGCTGCTCTACAAACCTCCTAATTGCGGCAGTCCGAGCTGTTCCTGCCGAGTCCTTCGCGTTTCGCGGACGTCGTGCGTCCTTTTTATTGCGCGCTCGCATTTCCACTAAAAGTTGTGCCATTTTTTTCCTCCATCTATATTTGTCCA